CTCTCCTGATCAATAACCTCCGGGGCGAAGCGGTGGCACTGTGGCTAAGGATCTGCGCCTGTGGCTGGAAGGTTGCCAGTTTGTATCCCACAGCCGGCAGAGGAATCCTACTCCGTTGGGCCCCTGAGCAAGGCCCTTAACCCCATCTGCTCCAGGGGTGCTGTATAAATGGCTGACCCTGCGCTCTGACCCCAAGCTTCTCTGTCTGTCTCTGTGTGTCTCATGGAGAGCAAGCTGGGGTATGTGAAAAGACAAATTCCTAATACAAGAAATTGTGTATGGCTAATAAAGTTAAATCTAAAATAAAATATGTAGATTTATATAAGTATATTACTCTCCTACTTTTACCATCGGTATGCATGGCCCATCCTTCTGCCGATCTGCTTACCAATGAAATTTCTGCAGCCCCCAGCGGTTGAACCCCGAATCCAGCTGCCTTCAAATAAGGTCACTTCCCAGCTCCGCGCGGTGTCGTCCGTTAAAGAGTCAGGAGAGAGGTTGCAGATCTCGATCTGGTCGTAATTCGTCTTGAAATCCTCAAATTCCATCCTGAAACATCCAGCCAGAGAGAGGTAAACAATGATTGCAAATAAAAAAGTATGATTTTCATAAAAGCACAATAGAAAATCAACTACAAACTACAGTTCTAGACAAATACAAGGTAAGGAAAATGGAATTTACTGAAGCACAGCCTATTGCTGATATGAAACGGCTTAAAACATCTTTTATTAAAATTGTTGATGCTTAGATAAGTCATATTCTTTTGAACACTATTCAGAAAAAACAATTACAGATCTGTTCCAAAGGTTATATACATTAGTCTATATAAAACTGTAATTACGTCTATAATTAATTAGTAGATGCGTGTGTGAACCTGCCCTCTCAGACATCAAACTGGAAGTACTGTATATGTCTAAGATTTTGATGTCAAGCATTTTGTCCATTTTACTCATTTGTAGTATGTTTGGCATGAGGAATGTACACTACATGTTTAGTTTCTGGATATATTTAAACTCCTTATTGTGCTGAATAAGATAGATCACTATCAGAAAGCGACTTCTTCCTGGTGAGGCTCATAGCAACCTGGAGCCTTTCCTGGTGAAACACAGGGCAATAACACACACAAAATGCCATGCAAACACATGAGGAAAAGCACAGAAGGCAGCCAGCATAGTGCAGATTCGAACTCAGGACCCAGAAGGTATACAGCATGGGCACTGTGCTTCTACCATCTGCTTCTGCCTCAGATAGATGTGCAGAGCCACTGAAACAGACTGCCTTGAACTTTCATATCCCATAATGTGTACTTGGACTGTAGCAGGAATTAAAAAAAA